TCACATTAACCCTTCGAAAATGCAGCTGACACATATTAGCAGCAGGCCAAAGCCAATGTTGATGCACATTTGGAACCATCATTCACGAAAATCAGGAGCATGACTTTGTATAATATTTCAAAGTATGCATGTTTTTGCCCGACTTTATAGTTTCAGATAAAAAAAATAAAATCTAAAAACTATAATATGAATATGGAAACTATGTCTTTTTAAGTATCCCGAGGCAGCGCGTCTTCAGTGAGTTGAAGTAATAGGACAAGTTTTAATATAAAGCACCACAGAAACGTTTTCACGACGTTACGCTTTAGCCAGCTTAATTCAGTGGGTGTCAACTTTTGTATTAGAAAAGCCAACGTTTGCAACCTTTAAAGGGCTAAACATTTTCGCACCACCCACCAACAGGAATTTCCAAGCGGGGCATTGATTAGATAATATTTGTCACTATTGCGGCGATATCCACCGTCCAGCAACATTTCCAAATCGTGCAGATTGGTCAGCATTGGTTTCACTGGTTTCTTGATTTTGTTCCCAACACGCCAATAAAAATTAGACTCCAAAGCTAGTCATCAATACTTTAATACTATTCATACTGCATGCACGAACTCCATGGTTTCTATTAAGGACCCTTAACAAAAGTTATAGAACAAAGTTTTAAAACATTGTGTGTGGTTGGTGGGTGCTCTGGTATGGTTTGATCCTTGCTTTTCATCGAAGATCTGTCTTATAATCTCTCTTCCTTCTCTTTTTTTGTTCTAATGTATGTTACTCTTTAGTAACCCTTCTAATCATATGGCGCTTTTCTGACCTATTTGTGTTACAACTGTGGTAAAACTCTTACAAAAACAAAACAAAAACAAATAACACGTTTACCTGCTTTTTCCAGCGACGCGATCAGAGCATAACATCGTTTTAATGAAGCACTAAAGCAGCATTTTGATGCTTACGATATGTATTTGAACTTGAGCTATTTAACCCGATGTACGTGGGAGCTGACATGTGGTAGTTAAGGAGAATACTCCGAATCTCTTGGACAGAAAGGGAAACAAATAGAGAAGTACCCCAAAAGGCAGTTTTTGAAAGATCTATAATCAGAACCATCAAAAGGAGACAATTCAGGTTTTTGGCCACATAAATAGAACAAATGGACTAGGAAAACTGCTTTGGAGACCCCAAAAAAAAACAACAACAATAGAAACCGAACTGATCAGGAAGACAGACAACAGAAAGAAATGGGGTATCGTTACTATCTGTTCCACACCTGGACAAAAAGAAGACGTGTCTGCTTGCGCGCGTGCGCGCGCGTGTGTATGTGTGTGTGTGTGTGTGTGTGTGTGTGTGT